ATACGAGAACAAAGATTGGAGGGAGAATGATTGAAACTGCACCACAGGAGGGAAGTGAAATCAAAAGACTATAAATAAGTGCTGACAAAAAAAAACGTAGGATAGCACTTGCCACAATGTATATTGTTGTCCTAATGGATTATCTGTTTACTGAATGTTAAAATAGACCCCTTCTTGAGGAGTAGCCTACATTAAGCTTTTTTCCAGAATTAATTGGTTGGAGTCTTGAAGCCCACAGTGCAGAAAGGAACAAAACAAAACCCATGCATGTAACACACCGAAAAGCTGCCAAAATGGAATTTTAGGCCAAATACCCCACCTCCCTGGAGCCCCTAAACAGATATTGCTAACAAAACTTCATTTCACAACCCTCCTTTGTGCGTTACAGTTCCAGCAGAATGTGTTTGGAAAGCTCCAATTGCCTGGGGAAGCAGGAAATAAAACCCAAGAAAACCTGAAGCTGGCAATGCACATTCAGCCTCAGCCACTCGTACGCATCTGCCTGCGTTTCAGCATCTGCATCTTCTTTTTACACCCTCCACTGCCCTGTTAAATGCTTAACAGTTCATTAGGGGCACTGCTCACTTGCTCAGGTATCAATCAAGGCAGAATAAAGGCTGAAGGGGAGGCAGAGACAAGGGGAGGAAGAAAGGAAGGAAAGGGTTTGCAGGAATTGCATTGTGCCAAAGAAAAAGACACACGAAGGAGAATTAAGTCATTTTACCCTCTTATTTCTCATCATTTTCAATGTGCTACACACGAGGTAGTGGCACTTGACATGCACACTATAGAGCAAAGTTTTTATGTTAAAAGAATTTGTATTGAAATCTGAGTTGCTGGAATCTCCCCCTCGCTCATATATAACCTTATAAAAAGATAGAAGAGCAGAAATTCTTCGTTTTGCTAAGGAAGTGGTTTCACAGAACGCACCTCTCAAAAACAAGACAGATAATTACAGAACTATAAATCTGAACTGCCTCAGGCGTAGTAATGTGTTCCCTATTCAAGTGGTACAGTCTAAACAAAAGAGCTCGAGTTTGACAAATATTTAGACCTATATCTCATAAAATGAGAGAGCAACAATTCCTCACGCCGTTAATCGCTTGGCAGCAATAAAATCCAGTAACTAAATCAACAGCAGGGAAATACTGAGAGCGCACGTCTGAGCTGCATACCAAGCTCTTCATTTGGCTGGGCTGTGAGCCGTGGAATACACCGGAGAGCTGGGAAGTCGAGGGCTCTCCAAGTGGCTCACGGATGGGAGGTGACACTGACCCATCAGGAGTCCCCTCTGGCGTGGCTGCAGGGGGCCTGCAGCTGGGCTCTGGAGTACCCCCACAATGGGCAAGCTCAGCTCTCCACTGCCTGCTCCCTACAAGTCAGCCAAAGCCTTAGCCCCAGTGCTGGCGTGTGTTTCAGCCACTATGTTCATCCAGCTGTTGCGTGTGAGCTGCTCACAAGTGGAATCGTAGAACCATAGATCAGTTTGTGTTGGAAAGCACCTTAAAGCTCATCCAGTTCCAATGCTCTGCCACAGGCAGGGACACCTTCCACTGAGCCAGGTTATTCAAAGCCTTGAATCACAGACTGAAAAGTAGCCTGTGCTAAAAAATAGTGAGGTGAGGGAAAGGAGTCTCACAGAATTGGGGGAAAACAGCAGTGAGAAGAGGATGAAGTGTTAGTTACAGGGGCAGTGACTGAGTGTGGGCTTACACGAGGTTGTTACAGGCCAGGGCAGAGGCACAGCCAGCTGAGGGGAACTTCTGCAAGAGCAGCATTGCAGAGTAAGATGGGCGTTCAAAAAAAGGGCAGTGAGATGGTTAGTGAAGAAGGGAAGGTAATAAAAACCCCAGCTCAGGCTGCTGTCCACCACGCCCTGTAATCAAAGTGCAGGACTGGTGCTCCTTCATTTCTAAGGACCATGAGGAGGGCCATGGAGATGCTGTGAGGGCTGGAGCACCTCTCCTATGAGGACAGGCTGAGAGAGCTGGGCTTGTGCAGCCTGGAGAAGAGAAGGCTCCAGGGAGACCTTAGCACATCTCCAGTGCCTAAAGGGGCTACACGAAACATGGAGAGGGGCTTTTGACAAGGGTAGGTAGGAAAAGGGGGAATGGCTTTAACCTGCCGGAGGGGAGATTGAGATGAGCTCTTGGGCAGAAGCTCTTCCCTGTGAGGGTGCTGAGGAGCCAGCACAGGGTGCCCAGAGAAGCTGTGGCTGGCCCACCCCTTGCA